AAAATTTTTTAATGTTTTATTTATTTTTGAGAGAGAGAGACAGAGACTGAGCGTGAGTGGGGGAGGGGCAGAGAGAGGGGGAGACACAGAATCTGAAACAGGCTCCGGGCTCCAAGCTGTCAGCACAGAGCCCGACGCGGGGCTCGAACTCACAGACCGTAAGATCATGACCTGAGCCGAAGCCGGACGCTTCACCAACGGAGCCACCCAGGTGCCCCCCAAATGTACAGATTTTAAGTACAGGTTTGATGCATTTAGATGAGTGCATACACCTCCGTGACCCATGCCGTGTCCCCATCACCCCAGGATGTGCCCGCGTGCCCTTTGTCGGCACAGGCGGGCGCTGGCCTGATTTCTGCCTGATTTTGCCTGTTCTGGAAACCCACACATCTGGAGCTGTGCAGCACGCGTTCTCGTGGGTCTGACTGGCATTAGCCCCACCAACAGAATGTCCCCGAGGTTCGCCCACATCGTGGCAACTGGTTCCTTTGGTCGCGGGGCGCGTAGCGTTCTACTGTTCGGATACGCCACGCTTTGGTTCTCGTGGGAGCCGGGCCGCGGAGTGTGACCGTTCCGGGGACAGTGGGGGCGCCGGGGGAGGGTCTGCCAACGCATCTCAGTGTCTCAGAGAGGGGCCTGGCTACTCCACTTTTCCTTCTGTGGAAGAGCAACCAAAAACCCTTTCCATAAATCTCGTTTCTGACCTGAGCTGGCCGGAGCCCGCTTCTGCTGTTTGCAATGATGCATTTGGTCGTGTCATTTTTCTGCGTAAGCGCCTGCCAAGTTTCCAAGGCATCTACCGCCGTTGGGGTGAAGTCCAAGTGTCAGGGAGACCACGGGGCCATCCGCGGCCCCGGTGCCCCCACCGCACACCCCGCTCCCCACCGTGCTCTCAGACCCCGTAAGAACATGCTTCCCCCTCCCTTGTTCTGGTCCCTCTGGTCGCTGTCCGGGCCGTGCCATCCGTGGGGAGGTTGCCCCCCGCGCTGGCCCCCAGGCAAGCTGATGGCGCTCCTGTGCTGAGCCCCAGCCTGGCACACGGTCGGAGTTCAACAAACACCGGCTGAATGAATGACTTTGTTAAGAGAATGAATGAAAGTCCGAGGAGGCCAGGCGGCTGCACATTTCAGTCTGGCACTTAGTGGCCAGTTCCCTGCCCCAAATGGGAAAACCAGATCCTGCTGCGTGCAGCTCGGGGCAGGAGGCAGGCGACCCCATGCAGGCCCACCCCTCCGCCCCTCAGCTCCTGCTCGGACCCGGCCCCGGCCCCAGCCCCCAGCCCCCAGCCCCAGCTTCCAGGAGTGGAAATACGAGTAGATGTCAGGTGTCCGAGAACTCTCTGGAGCCATAAACCCTGCTCAGAAGCAGGAAAACATTCCACAGTTGGTTTTGTGCAGGAGTGTGTGTGTGTGTGTGTGTGTGTGTGTGTGTTTTCTTTGCAGCTGTAAACTCCAGGGCCAGGGCTGTGAGCTTGGGGAAGGGAAAAAGAGAAGGGGGAGGTGGTGGAAGCAAGGGTGAGGCCGCTTGTACATGTGTTGCAGTGATTAAGGCAGAAGGGGGCCGAGGGGGGCCGCCCCCAGAGCGGGGGGACAGGTGACCAGTCCAGGGGCAGCCCGAGGAGCCCCTGTAGCGAGGCCGACAGCGTGGAGCGGGGCGGGGGGGGGGGTGCCTGCGTGCGGCTCCCCTCTGAGACCTGGCCGCCTGGAGACCGACCAGCTGGCTCGGGGGAAGGCGTCCAGCTCCGAACAGGACTGAAATGACCCTCGGCTCTCCCTGCAGCAGGCGAAGCGATGGGCCTGGGGGCTGGGGGAGGGGGAGGCAGAGTGGAAGGCAGGCTGCTGCTTCCAGGGTCGAGCTGCCTCCGGAGGTGCAGGGGCAGGGGGGGACGGGGCCACTCAACCAGCGGCCTGAGCAGCAGATGTGCACCCCCCCCCTTCCCTGCGTTCGGTGACCTCCGCCTGCCAGCCTGCCATGGACACCCTCCCCCACCGACCCCCACCTGCCCACGTTCCAGCGCACACCCTCCTTCGGCCTGGCCGCTCTCGCCTTCCCCCGTGGCCCTCAGCCTCTCCTGACGCCCGGCGGGGTGTGGGCTCCCCCTTGCAACCCACCCCCCTCCACACACACACTGTGTGTGTCTTGAAAACCACTGGCAGGCGCAGACATTTATTCAGCGCCGGCCATGTGCAGGGCCCTGTGCCAAGCACTCTTCCTACTTTGTCCTGTCGGGTCCCGGCAGCTGCTAGAGGGTGGGGTGGGGTGGGGGGTGGGGAGAGCTGCCTCTGCCGTGCCCATTTTACAGGGGAGGAGACTGAGGCCCGGAGAGGAGCAGAGACTGCTCGGGGTCTCCCTGCGCGGCCCCAGGCGCCATCCCCGCTCCGCCCAGCAGGTGGCGCTGGCCTGGGGTTGCTGGGGGAGGGGAGGGGAGGGGGGAGGCCCCCAGGGAGCCCGCCCGCCCTCCCCCCAGTCCCTCGCCCCCTCGCCTCGGAGCGGGCGGGTTTTATAGAGGTGCCCAAACGCCTGGAATGGCACGGAGCCCCCGCCTCCCGGACAGCTGTCTGTCTGCCCTGCCCGCCCGGAGAGCGGAGCCAGCGGCTGCGCCTGCGTCCTCCCAGCTTTGAACACCCGGCCCGGAGCTCCCGGGCGGCCCCTGCGCCTTGGCTCCCTGCGTAGGGGTGCACCGAGGCGGGCCCGCACCTGCGGAGCGGGGCCGGGCTCTGATGTTTTCCAGCTGGGGCCTCTGCGCCGTGCACGTGTCGCGTGTGTCCGCGCTGTGTGTCTGCGACGGAGCTTGTGAGAGCAATCATGTGTCGTCCTCAGCCGCAGGCTGAGAATTAGCAACCCGAGCCACCCCCAGCTTCTGAACGCCTGCCACGTGAGCCAGCCGGAGCACGCCGCCCCTGCCTGGCTCTGGGGCTCTGGTGTGCCCCTCGCCCAGCGAGCCTCAGTCTCCTCATCTGCAAAATGGAGCCCGCGCTGCCCCTGCCTCCCAGGGTCGTGGTGTGGAGCTCTGAGCAGCAGCCGGACCGCCTGTCTGGCCTCGGGGCTTCGTCTCCCTGGGGGTTGCAGAGGCTACTGGGGCCTCTCATGCACCCGCCACACACCCCCCCCCCCGCCCCCTCCCTGTTCCATATCTGGGTGGAAGGGAGCCTCTTGTGGAATCTGAGAACCAGAGAAGTCTACCCATTTCGCGGGTTCCCCCGCTTGAACTTCGAGCCTTGGCTTGACAGAAGAAAGGCCGAGAAAGTTGGACAGGGAAACAAAGAAGTCCGTTTGGTGGTCCAGCCTCCCACCTGCTGACCCCCGTGGTCTGCAGGGGGAAGTTCTTCCCGAGTGTCCAGCCCCTGGGCCCGGGGCAGAGAAAGTTGTCATCTGCCCCGGGCTGGGCAGGGAGCTCACGGGGTCCCCAGAGCTCACGGAGCTCCAGACTGATGGTGCTGGGGCTGCCCTCGGGGGCCTGGTCCTCTTCTGGTGTCTGGCCGGTCACCTCCAAGCTGGCCCCTTGATGGCCCAGGGCCCGTTGGGTGGGAAAGCTCCGCTGTCAGAAGGCGCCCAGGACGCCTCTGGGGGGACAGAGAGAAGAGGAGGAGGGCGGGCAGGCCGCTGGTGGCCGGGGCAGGGGGACCCGCCTCACACACGCTCTGGCCGTGGTCCCCATGCTTCTGGGCTCCGCTCTGGACACTTTGCCGGGCAGCACAGGGCCTGGCTCCGCGTGTGGCTGTTCAGCTACCAGCACCCCCAGCCCGTCACCTCATGGCACCCCGCGCCCCTCCCGTGCCCTGGATCTCTCCTCCCCCCTGAGCTTGCCTCACGGTCTGCCTCCTGTTTTCCCACACCCCTGCTTGGCGACGTTAGAAGTGTGCCTGCTTTCCCGCTTCCAAGCTCCTCCTCGGACATCCAGAAGGCTCCAGTGGCAAGACATCTCCTAAAACACAGCTGGGACCCACAGGTGGCGGCGGGTGGGGTCTCCATGCGGCAAAGGCCCTGGGGGACGTCAGCAGGCCAGCAGGGAGCTCCGCCTCCGGAGAGCGGAGAACCTCAGAGGACAGGGGGCCCTGGCGTCAGGAGCCACCACACACATCCGCCCCTTTGTTAACCGAGCACCTGCTACGAGCCGGCCCCACAAAGATGCCCTGTGACCTGGGAGCGGTCCCCGCTCTGTGGGGGTCTCAGCTGCCGGTCAGGGAAGAGCATTCTGGCCCGACATGAGAAGCCTCAACGAAGTCCCAAGGGCTTCCTGGAGGAGGTGGCCCTAGAAGATCGGCTGGGGGTGCTGAGCATGTCCAGATGGGTGCAAAAGAAGGGTTCCACAAAGTGGGGAACAGGACCTGAGACAGGGGCTCAAAATACTCGTAGTGACTCCAGGGAGCCCAGACGCAGTTTGAACCATAGGAGGGACCCAGCCAGGAGGCAGCGACCCCGCTGGGTAATTTGTGGGGCTCAGTGCAAAATGGGGGGGCCTTTGTTCAAAAAGCAGGACAGAGCTTCTTTCCTCCCCGATTCTCCGGACGGACCGTGTTATTTTCTATCCGAGGGTTAACGCCGTGTTCCTTTGGGCACGAGGATACTCCCGGATGAGCGTTCACCCTCACGGGTACCCGGGATCCCACCCAGCGTGGAGGGCAGAGGCAGTTGCGGTGGCTGGGTCAGGGCTGGCAGGGGTCGGGTGGTCAAGAACCGGGGAGGCGGAGGGAGGTGGACCGTGCCTGAGCCAAGGCTCCAAGCCCCAGTGTGTGCTTCCCTCGTCCCTTAGGATGTCACTTCCAGAATACGGATCCAAGCGTAACATTATTAAGACTTTCAGTACAGTGACGGCCGCAAGCGTGGGTCCCTTCTGAGCACAGCGGCCCCGAGCCTCCTCGGGAGGGCGCTCCGGGTTCCTGCCCCGAGAGCCTCGCTGGGACCCTGTGAAGTGAGTCCCCAGGGCACCTATGGCCTGTGGCCCAGGAGGCCCACCCTCACCAGCTCCCCCCGGGGCCAACAGCTCTCCACACTCGGAGCACAGTCCTGCCTGTGCTTTAGTCTTCACCCCAAATTCCTAGGGTCTTGGGGGGCCTCCCAGAAGCCTTCCCTGGCTCCTGAGTTCTCTCCTGACGTTCCCAGGCCACCAGCAGAAAAAGCAGCAGGTGCAGCTCCCTGCAGGTCTGGAGTTTGGGGGCTCACCGGTGACCCTCGGGGGAGAACCTTGGCGGGTTCCTCCAGGTGGAGGCTGGGGTGGGGCGGAAGCGTGGCAGGCACCTGGGAGGGTCACACGCCTGCAGGAGGTCACAGGGCGGGGGGGCCCCCAGGCCTGTCTCCCGGGCACTGCCCCGCCGGGCTCAGAGAAGGCGCTGGGGGTGTTTGTGTCGGTTGGCCGTGGGGTCCCTCCCAAGGGAAACCATTAGTCACCCTGGTGCTGGCTGGCTGTGGAGCCAGAAACGCTGGGAGTTTCGGGACCGTGCCAGGGGGTGCCGGGCCCTGGCGCTTGGCTGGAGGGGAGGGGATGGCGGCTGTGTCTGTGAGGGCCGGGGCCTGAGCCCGGCGGGGCCGCGGCGCGTGGGTGCTTGGGCTCCAGAAGGTGCCCGGGGACAGGCTCCGTCCTGTCTGCACTTCAGCACACCGGCCGCAGGGGGCAGTGTGGAGCTGGGTTCAAGTCTTGGTCACAGTGACTATCCCAGCGGCCCCAAGGGGAAAATGAGATGGACAAGTCCCCCCTCCCCCATATTCCGGGGAGGACAGATATCATGGGAGAACCCTGCGGATGGAGAGGACACGATCAGCAAGAGTGCTGGGGTCCCTGATGGGCCCCTTACCGGATGTGGGACTTGAAGCCTCAGTCTGTCCATCTGCAAAATGGGCGTAGCGAAGATGCTGGCCTCATAGCTCCCGGTGCCCGGGAAGGGCTCCATGCACGGGAGCGGGCGGTGCTGTTTTACTCTTACTCCTTCTCCACTGTTCCTGTCGGCGGCCAGACAGGCCACGGGGACGGGATAACTCTCAGCCACCCAAGGTGGCCGCCGAAGGAGCTCACCGTAGCTCCTGTGGCAGGGAGGATGGAGGGGAGGAGGGGGATCCCCAGGTGCCCGTGTGGACCTATGACCCCTGCGCAGCAGAGGCAGGGGGGCGGCTGAGATGGCTCAGAAGACCTTACATGGTGGGCTCCAGGAGGACGGGCTCCAGGGAGGAGGCTGGTGTGTAAGCGGTGGGTGCCAGGCCCTGCTTCGGGGACCGCTTGCAGAGTCCGGGGTCCTCCCGGGTGCCCGGACGCCGGAGCGTGTGCTGCCTGCTCCGTCCTCTGCTCCACACTCTGACTCAGCAGGAACACGGGTCTGGCCTGCCAGGGGCTGCCCGACTGGCCTGGGCCCAGCCGGGCTGGTTCCCCAGCCCCCCGGCCCCGCACCGGCCCTGGCCATGTCGGCCGTCCGGTCAGCACCCGGGCACTTCTGTCCCTTCCCCGGAACCCTTGGCTGAGCCGCCACTGGGTCTCCCTTCGTCCCTCCGCTCGCATAGGCGTCTGCTCCTCAGGAGGACCTTGCCAGGGCCGGCTGGGTGGCCCGGACCTCACCTTTCCCATCCGTAAAACGGAGCCGTCAGACCGGCTGTCTCCTACATCCCCGGACCCCGTTCTGGGGAGCACCGGAGGACCGGATCCCCTCCCGAGGCAGAAGCCGGACCGGGCCGAGGCTGGGGCTGGGGTTTGCCACCTCCAACCTCCCCCGTGACCCCGGGCCCGCGGCTGCTCCGCCTGGACGCCCCAACGCGTGTTCCCCGTCCCGGACCCGGGAAGGCGGCCTCCCCGCTCGCGGCTCGCTGCTCTGGGCCGCCGCCGAGGCCGCAGTCGGCAGGCAGCTGGGCCGGCCTGGCCGGGCTCCAGAGGCGCGGAGTGGGTTAAAGTGTGCGCCAGGCCAGCCGGCGGCGGGCGGGGGAGCAGCCTGGTGGGAAGTGTGAGTTCCTCCCTGTCTGCCTGACAGCTATAAAGGCGGCCGCGCCACAGAGCCGCCACTGGGCTGCGCGCCTCCCCGGGAACCCCCTCTCGTGGGTGCTCTTTGAAGTGGAGGACGGAGGCGGCCAGGGGGAGGAGGAGGGCGGGCGAGGGGCAGAGCCCGCGGCCCTCTGCACTCTGAGCCTCCCCCTGCTCCCGGCACCTGGCGCCTCCCTCGCACAGCGGCTCTGCCCCCTTCCCCGGGAGGACGACCTGCTGACCCGGGGGCCAGGTAGGCCACCTCCGCCTTCCCGCGTTGCCCCCCCCCCCCCCGCGGCCCTCCCGGGGCACGGATGGAGCTCTGAGGGGGCTGGGGGCCAGAGCATCCCCCAGCCCCCCCCCCCCCCGGGGAGCCGTTATGTAACAGGAGGAGGGCTCACGGGGAGGGGTCCGGACCCTCAGCTCCCAGCCTCGGGCGCCTGAAGCCGGTCTTTGCACGGCAAGCCTCTCCTGCCGGCCGGTGGCTGTTTTTGGACCCCAGGGAGGGATGGATCCCGCGTGAGCCGGACCTGGCCTGTGGCCAGCGGTGTCTGGGAGCCTTAATGAAAACCAAGTGTGGGGCCGGCTCAGCACCTGTCTTCGGCTCAGCAGGCAGGAGCTGGGGCACCGACTGGCCAATGGGGCTGCCGAGGGGGGTGCTCTGTGCTTGTGTGAAGCTGGGGGGGCACGCAGGGGGGGCTGTAGGTGGAGGCCTGCGGGGGAGGGGTAGCAGCCAGGGGGGGGGTGGCAGGCAGGCAGCCGGGGACGTGGGGGTCTCGAGGACTCCGGCTCCAAACTCCAGGGTGACATTCTTAGGACGCACGGGCGTCACTGGCGGGACTCCCGCAGATCTGCAGGTGTCAGCCCTGCAAGGGGAGGGGGGCAGATTTGGAGTTGGCTTCGGGGCTGGCGGGGGGGGGGGGGGAGTTTCACACCTTCTTCCTTGAAAGTAGCCGGGGGCAGGGGACGAGTCCCTGAGTCTACTGTGGTCTGGGGGGGGGGGGGCGGCGGGTATCTGGCCACCTTGCTGTGTGGCTTTGGGCAACTTGGCTCCCCTCTGTCGCTTCCAGGCTGTAGGGGGACAGGCTTGGCGGCTTCTGAAACCCCTTCTCTGACCTGCTGGCAAGTGACACTCAGGACCTGAGATAGATCCTGGACAGAGGCCGCCAAAGGCCCCCGTGCCTCCCTTCTAGGAGGTAGGCGTCCACACAGCTGAGGCAGATAGGGGAGGCTAAGGGCTCCCCTTGGTTTGACCCCTGGCAGGGAGGTCGAGGGGTGTTTGGGGCTGACAGTGCTAACTTGTTGGGGAAGAGACAGCCCCGTAGCTCTGGTCTGCCCTGACTCCACACCCCGGGGGACAAGGGAGGGACACAGGCGCCTGGACTCTGTGCGGCCTGAGATCCCTGAGGGTTCCGGGCCCTGCCCCCTCCAGGGCAGGGGTAGCAGGGGCCAGGGAGGGGAAGGGGCTGGCGGAGCGGGTGGCATCCATGGGCCCCTCCAGCAGCCCCGTGTGGCTGGCAGGGAGATCACTGTCCCAGGTGGGCAGCTAGCACTGAGCAGGTGAAAATCCCCAGGGGCTCTTGTTCAGGCCAGTTCCCCCAGTGGAGATGGCGGCCTGAGGTCTGGGGCTTGGCTCCCTCGTCCAACGGGTGCGGCCTGGGCCTGCAGCCTCCTCAGCTGTCCCTGCTTTTCTCCGCAGGCCCTCTCTAGGGAGCTCAGGTGGTCAGAGGCAAAGCACACATCCCTGTGCACCCTTAGGTGGGAGGTGGGGCAGGCTTTGCAAGCTCACCGCTACCTTGGTTCTCGTGCCTGTGGCAGGCATCGTTAATCACCCACCCGCCTTCCCCAACGGGGCCACCAGGCAGCCACTACCAATCAATCCCAGAGAGCCTCTGGGCCTCGGTGCTGGGCGGGCCCCCAGGGCTCTTCCCTTAAGTGGACCCTCCTCAGCTGTCAGAGGAGCTGGGTCTGGCCTGGCAGTGACCGTGGCCTTGCTTCCTAGGATGGGTGGCAGACGGCAGCCTTCACGCTGGGTCTGGTCCCTGCTGGCTGTGGCACTTCTGGCTGGGCGTGTGGCATCTACTGGGGCCACGGTGAGTGGGGAGCAGGGTCCCTCACCCAGATGGGCTGAGGTGGGAGGGGCTGCGCGGCAGGTGTAGGGCACGTGTCCAGCGAGCCCTGCGTGCACTCCCAGATCCCCACACAGCCCCGGAATACATCTTACAAGCTGGTCAGACCAGTCCCTACGGGGACTCTGGCTGATTTGGGCAGGATGGGGTTGGAGGGGGCTGAGTGCTTCCTTCCGAGCAAAGTCCTGGAAGGGGGCGTGTAGACGGGGTGGGCTTGTGTCCCGCAGAACCCAGGCCGGGGCCCAGGCCGCTCGGGAGAAGATAAACAAGGACGGTGTGGCCTCAGGCTCCCGCCAAGCCCCCAAGATGTTCCAGATCCCGAGATTGGGAGCACTTAAGGCCCACGACCTCCGGGGAGTTCCCTCCAAGACCGCCTGGACACCTGGGCGGGGGTGCCGAGGGACCCAGCCGGGCTGTGTGCTGCTGACCACAGCAAGGGACGGCGGGCCAGTCCCGTTCCAGCGTCTTCTAACCTTCCATGGGGACTCTCGCCCAGGACCACAGCCCGACGTCCAACAGCCTGGAGGGGGGCTCGGACGCCACCGCCTACTGGTGGGGAGAGTGGACCAAGTGGACGGCATGCTCCCGCAGCTGTGGGGCCGGCGTGACGTCCCAGGAGCGGCACTGTCTGCAGCAGAGGTGTGGGACTAGCACGGGGGTGGGCAGCGGGTGACAGGTGGGTGGGGGCTCAGGCCGGGAGGGGTCTTCAGGTGGAGGCGGCACAGGCCAGGTGAGTGAGCCTTTTTGCTGGCCTGTCAGGGCCGAGGCTCCCGACGGGTCCTGGGACACCGTGTCCTGGGGTTCACCCTGCCCCGGGGCTCTGGGGACAGACAGCCCTCTCGTGAGAAGGCATGGTCTGTTTCTTGGGATTTTTTTCAACGAGGGGCGAGGTCTTTCCTGGTCCTTCTTTTCTGAAGACCCGAGTCGAATTCACACGGGAAAAAACATAGGATATAGTGGTTACCATCGGGCGGGCCTGAGTTCAAATCTTTGCTTCTGCTACGTCCTTGCTGTGTGACCTTGGGCAAGTCGCTTCATCTCTCTGAACATCAGTTTCCTCACGTATGGAGTGGTACGGAGTAAACGTTCTTGGTATTATTATCAGTTCTGTGTACAACCCTGGGCTCTATGCCGGGGGTGCAGAGGTGAATTGGATATCTTCCCTCCCCTGGGCTGCGGTGGAGTTGTGGGGGGCCAGAGGAATTAGGGGGGGGGCTTCCGGGGCCCAGCCCAGAGGCCGTCTGGAGCAGGGGCACGGTCGGTGCCCGCAGCCCACGGCCCCCAGCCCCCAGCTCAGAGCCCGGGTCTTCCCTCCAGGAGGACGTCGGTCACGGGCGCGGGGAACAGGACCTGCACGGGCACGTCCAAGAGGTACCAACTGTGCAGACTGCAGGTGAGGCCCCGCCTGGGCGGGACCGCAGCCCTACCCCCAAGCTCCTTAGGCCGGTCTCAGGTGGCCCCCCAGACCCTCCAGGCACTCTGCGCCGGGTCTGCCCTTACTTCCGGTTGAAGAGAAGGAGGGTTGAGGGGTCCTGGGCTCAGAGCCCCCTTTACGCCTCGGATCACATCTGTGCTGTGCATGCGCAGGGGTGAGGACTGGCTTCTGCTGGGGGCGGGGGCTCACGTGCGGCCTCTAACGTGCAGATCTCAGGCTGCTCACAAGTCCTGTGCCAGGTGCTTGCTGGGAGACCGACAGTCACCAGGTGTCCCGTCCCCAGCCGTGAGAAGTCTCACTGCAGCTCCCCAGGGGGGACAGGAGATGCTGACTCTGCCTCAGCCTCTGGGTGCCCTTCAATGGGGCCAAACCAGTCTGGACCTGAACTCCCCTCCCCCCGCCACCACCCAGAACAGGTGTGGGGTAGAAAGACAGCAAGCCATAGGGGTCTTTGCGTCCCCGTGAGCGTCTCTGGGTATGTGCACGCTCGAGGAGTTAGGGCCTGAAGGGAGGCGGGCGGCCACAGCTCCTGTGTTGGCATCGCTG